ACTTAAATGAATTTCAATCTTGGCCACCAAGATCCACAGACCTGACACAATTGAACTATTGTTTATAAAAGTGTTTTTTATGGATAGGCGATGTTTGTAAAAATGTATTGCAAAAATACAAAACAAATGAATGGCTAAAAGCAATTGAAAATTGTTTCTTTTTAATTTTACTTTTAGTGGCTAGAGTTTGTTACGTTGCGTTTGCTGACCTGTATACCAGATGAAATAAATAATAAAATATCTTACTTTTTAATAATATTAGCTTTTCCATTCTTAGCCTTGGATTGCTCTTTCTTAAAGTGGAGTTTTCTCTATAAAACATCAGCTCCTTCTTTATTTCTTCCATAGACATACTTTTTTCAAAATGATTTTCTAAATTCGTCTGGACATCACACAAATCCAAACCTACTTCAATTTCTCCTTGTTCATGAAATTCTTCTTTTGAACTAAATTGTTTCTCCTTTTCTATCAAATTTTCTTCGTGGGTTTTATTAATTTTCTGTAAGCTGGACGGCTGTATGGCATTTATAGATTTTTTAATGTTTCCCCTCATTAATTTTTTCAAATCGACCAAAAAATTGTCCTTGAAAGAACGTTTTATGCTTTTACTATCCGATCTAAAGCTCACATTCCTCGAAATTTTTTCGTATTTAAAGCTATTACTACTCCTGGCTAAATTAAAATTAAATGAAACCTTGCAACCAAATGAAAGGCTACTCGTTTTCTTTTCCTTGTCATCTTTTTTGCATTTTTTGTTCAAAATCGTCTCTGTTTTCTTTGCGTTTCTTTCCACAGTCCTCCACATCCTCAAAGTTTTCGTAAAATCTATTGAATCTTCTATGATAGAATTTCGCCTCGAGTATGTGTTATCTCTATTTTCTACTATAATTTTAGATTGCTTTAAGTATGTGTTTTTTGGTGGTAATTGTAAGGACAAATAGTTGTCAAGGTACAAATCATTGTTAAAAGTTTTTATCTTCCTCCTACATATCAACGTATGGCGATGTGATGTCACATGTTTATCACAATTTAAATCATTTTCTAAAAAATACCACTCAAGTTGGGCACATGAAGAAAATAATTAGTAACTTACTTGGTATATTGGATTTTGGTATCAAACCAACAATAATTGGTTTAGTGTCCTTAAAAATTAAAATTAATATACGTAGTTAACTTTAAATAAAAAAACACTTACCATTGTATTTTTCTAAAACTAGAACACAACAAACACTCTTTATCAGGTCAAAGATCAGAATGGAATAAACAGATTTTCTTTCAAAACTGCACAAAATTATACCTGATAAACTGAGATTTATTTAAACAATGCAGTTAAGAAGTATTTTTCCGTCTCAAACATAGAGAGGTAGTATTCGTAATATTATTCAGTAATCTATTATTACAACCAAAGCACATTGTGGAGATTAGGATGCACTAATTTATTTTTACGAAAGTGATCTATTTATTTGCATATTAAATATTTATTAATTTTGGTTCCAGGAATTTTTAAAATAGTTTTTATTTAAATTTGCAATGTTCAAATCAAATTTGTGATATAAAAAATATTGCAATTATTTATTGATTAATTTAATTATTAAATAATAAAATGGTAATTTTTCTATGGCGACCTTATTGAAAATAAATATTTGTAACATTAGGTCTGTGGGTAAAAGCATTTTTAAAAACAATAGTAATAGTGATTAAGCAAAAATAGTATATTATTATACGAGAGATAATACGAATAATCTCGAGTGTAATACTATACTTTATCTACTACAATAAGTAGATATTTGAATGATTTTCAAAAATAAATAAATAAAATCTGTTATCTGTCAAATGGTTGACCTTACTTTTTACCAATTTTAAATGTCATTTTACTCGCCTTCTCCCAATTTAAATCACGGTGAATATTGAAATCGGCCAATAACTGATGCCTAACAACGAGAATAATGAACTCTTTATTCACGTTGTTAGGTAGGAAATTTATAATGTTAATCATTATTCACGAAAAAAAAACAATATTATGCAATAGGAGCAGAGCTGGCCAAGTACTGAGTACTTTTACTCGTATTTCAATTACGAGTAAAAAAGTAGGAGTACTTTTTTACTCATAAGTATTTTTCATTTGAAATACTTATTACTCGTACTTAGAAACCAAATTCAATGCACTAAAGAATACTCGTGGAATTAAATATATACAAGTATTTTTGTTTATTACATCGATGACTTTTTGCCAAAAGATCGTAAAAACATTTTGTTTGGAGGTCTGTTTTAAATTATATAATATATAGTATAATATAATATATTATAGCCTATAGGTTTTATGGGCGTTTCTCTGTAAACTGGGCAACTCATTGTCTCAAGCTAATATTGTTTAGAAAAATAACAGATCATAAATATTTCGTAGATATCTTCAAAAGATAATAACCTAATCTACCTATGCTCGATGTTCAAAATCCAATAAAATAAACTTTAATGTATCAAAATCGTTTTTATAGTCCTTAAAAACCAGTCCCCTGACGTGTCACCAAAGCAAAATGGTCACTTCAGACTAAATTAATTAAAGACAGTAACTATTGGAATCAACCTAATTGTTTAATTATTCAACCAATATTGTTTGCTTGTTACTGTGACTTATTTATTTTTTATAATTATTATTTTGTAATTCTAAAAAAGTCATCTAAACTTTGTCTCCGGATTTTATAAACAGTCCCCTGTATAGATTTTTCAGAAAATGCTCAATGTTTTCCAAAGTAATAGGAATATTTTTGGTAGATCTGCCATATACTAATAAATAGACCGATATTTATTCCTCGAATAACATTTATTAAATACAACAAAAATATAACAAAAAAACTTGCCTAGACAATTTCTTACTTCAAGTTGCCCAGTTTACAGAGAAACGCCCTTATAACAAGTATATAGACTTATAAACTATTTATAAATTTTTATTTATTGTTTTATGTACCTACCTAATGTTTAAAATAAATAATTTTATAAATTTGTATTTTTATAGCTCAGGACCAAAGTATGTATAATGTATAAAGAATAATCAATTATATTAACTAACTTTTTTTTTCCACAAGTATTCGTACTCTTTACTCGTGTTTTTACGATTACTACTCGTAACCGTAACCTCTCTTTACAAATGTACGAGTAAATATTTTAAGTACTCGTACTTTTTAGTACTATTGCCCAGCTCTGAATAGGAGTAATAAAATCATTTTTTCAGTAGAGCCTTACGTATTCATATTAATTCAGGAAATTTATTTATGATTAGAAGGTAAACACTTTTTCCATCATATGACCATATTGTTTTTGACAAATTTTTTACGATTTATAATTCCAAAATAAGGCTTTATTGATTCCAAAATAATTTATCTGGTGAACTTAACGTAGCATGGACACATTTCCTATACCTAGCGATAAAAAAATAAACATTGCTGAAATAACTTTATGTGGTTTTTAAATTTAAATGTTATTATTTGTGAATTATAACTTCTTAGGCCCTGTATATTAAAGGATAGAAAAAATATTTCTTAAAAGAAAGTTTTAAAAATAAAAAGTTAATAAAAAAAGTCCTGAAGATTTAGTTTTTGACACAAACCTTCAGAAAATACATCAACCATGTTAACTTTGGCTAGCTGTAGATTCCTTGTTTGATTTGTTTGTATAGCAACCCTTTTTCTATGTGTTGGCATAGGAAATACACAGTATTAAATGCTTAAATGATAACTCGATAAATAGGTACCTGTATAAAATCTGTTTTGTATTTTTTATAACCCGAGTGCCACCATTTTCGGGATGGCATAACAAACAATTTACTTTATGTACCTAATTAATATCAAAAATAGATATTTAAGAGTGAGAAACAAAAAAATTAACAAACATTAAAATGTATAAAAATACGCCAATACATATCAAACCATTAATAGTATATTATTTAATAAGTTTGATAAACGTCATTTTAGTCACGAATTTAATTAAGGCACGAGCGAGCTTGCGAGCGAGTGCTTAATTTAATGAGTGTCTAGAAAAGTTTATAAACGAGTTGCATACAATACTTTTTCTACGACAAATAATTATTATTATCTAAAAATTATTTAAATTAATTATTTGTATAGACCGACATCTACAAAACAATAGAGTAACCTTCTTGCAAGAATCTGTATTACAGGCTCGAAGGTGAAAATGTCAAATTTTTATGTGCAAATCGAAATGTATCCCTTGAAAACGGACCGTTTAATCCGATATAGAAGCAGTTTTTCACAGTGAAAGTAAAGAAAATGTTTTATTGGCAGTCCACGGTGGATTCTCCATCCAAAATTAAGTTAAATCTAGTTTACAGCCTGCAAAATTAATAGATCACTGCAACGTTCCTATGAACTTTTCAAATATTGGCTTTGAGAAACTATATAATTCTTTTTATTTTTGTATTGAGATAACAAAATAATTTTTACATTTAGTATTATTTTAACGATTACTTTATTTTAACGATTTTATGACATTTGACAACTGTCAACTAACTTAAAATTAACTTCAGCCCGTGACTAAAGCACCATAGATAAGGTATAGTACACTCTTGCTCGAAAGCCTCGTTCGTGCCTAATAAAACTCGTACACACCGTTTATAAAACTTGATACATAATATACTATACTATAGATACAATAGTATTTTCATATTCAGTGATAAAATAAAACAGATTTTTATAATTTAATATTACCTAACAAATTTTTACAAGAAAATTTCTTGTCGTTTGTCTACATATTCTCTGGAAATAATTATCATACATTTTAAAAAGCAGGTTTGGTTTTGAATATTATTAATAAGTATTATTAATAAAGTAAATACAGAGTTAATTTCGCTTTACATTTATTCTTATCTAACCAAAAACGATAAAAGAGTATGTAAAAGGAAATCCAAACAAATCAGTTTAAAAATACAACAATTATTTAATTGTGTGTTTAATACGATTAAAATCATTAGCACAATCATTTAATGCATTTTAAACGCGATATTTAATTGCACATTTGCTAAATTCTGAAAACTTTAGTGGTGCGTAGGGTACCAGTGATTAAACCTAATAAAAGTCGGAAGAACATGTGTACAAATTAAGATTTATTGGATTAATTTTGTACCTGTGAAAATATTAAGAGAAGAACAAGTGAGGTAAGTTTGACACCAATAAAAATAGTATTTACAAAACTTTTATTTTGGAATAACAAAATTGTTTTAAAAATCTATATTTCTTAAAAGTAGTATACAAAATTTGGTCACCGTGATTTTTATTTGTGATATCAAAATAAAACGGAAATGCATGTAAAGTTATCTAAAACTTCCTGTTCAATCATTATTATAAAACAATTATTAAATAACTAATAAAAATCGCAATAATTAAAATAGTTTATTATGTATCAAGTCAAGAGTTTTAATAAGCCAGGGACTATAAAACGCCATAGAGTCAGAACTTGTCAATGTGTATTTAAAATATTATGGAGACATGAACGATAATGGGCGTTTTAAAGGTGGGAGTAGATTTTTTAAAATAAAATTACATAATACATTATTAATTTATCTTAGTTTTACCAAACATTTGAGTCAAAACTGCAGTTACCAACTACCACTCGACAAAGATTTGATGTCATAATATAATATTATGATAGGTAATTAATAGGGATGGGATTTTAGTTATTTTACCTTTTTTCAACCGATGTAACTATTTGAAAACCAATAATGCCAAAATTTGTTTTAAAAGATTTTCTTTTATATGAACCTAACTTGTTTTCATCTTTTTTACCTTTTTTTGAGGTTTTTGCTTTAAACTACCTTTTTATATTTTTTTTACCTATTTTTTAAACTTGTTTTCACCTTTTTTACCTTTTTTGGAGGTGTTTGCTTTAAACTACCTTTTTATACTTTTGTTACATATTTTTTAATTTGTCAGTTTATTTTCACATATTTGTTACCTATTTTTACGTACTTTTACTTATTTTATTTTTTTGTGTTCTTTTTAAATTTTCCGCCAATATTTTATCCAGGGCGTACAACTCAACGGTATAGAATTTTGTCTTATGGTCACAGACTGTAACAGTAACTTTCTTTACAGTTACCTTCTTTGTAGTGAGCTTATGTTCTGTCATAGAACTTCTGTGTAGTGAGTGTCACTCAGTGAAACACAGTTTATTGCATAGAAATAGTTTATTGTGGGTATGTTCTGTGTTTGGGCTAAACAAAATTATAAACGAAAATACCTAAAATGCTGTTTTTTTTTAACCTAAAATGCTTTTTTTAGTATCTTTTTAGTTACCTATTTTTCAGTTTTTAGTATATTCTTATACTACTTTAAAGAGCTGCATTTTTCATAAATTATTTATTAATATGTTTGTTCCTATACTTAGCATTTGGATGGGCGATTTTACTATTGCGCTAGTTCCTGACGTCCAATTGACATAAATTTTTGCGAATGCGAATCCAAAAAGTCATGCGAAAATTCGCAAACAGCATTTAACTAAAGTGCTTGGCCAAATTTTACTAGTTTGATGTTTAAAACAAAATTGTAAAAACTTCAGCATAAAAAAATGATTATTCTCATTTTTTATTGCAAAATTGAAAAATCTTTTTTATTACGTTCCTCAACAATTTTTTTGTTACTTTTTTTTTACAAATCAACTGTAAAATGTATACACGCTATACAGGGTGTTTCACATTCGTGGTCCATTAGAAGTCTATTTTTCTAAAATATTTTGAACCATTTGGAATCTTTAAATGTAAAGGACACCTTAAACATTTAGTAATAAAACTTGTTAATTAAAATATTGTTGGTTTATTAAAATGTTACAGTTAAGCATTATTTTTGTATTTAAAATATTTCATAATAGTATATTATGTATCAAGCAAGTCCTTAAATTAATGAATGTCTTGAAAAGTTTATAAACGAGTTGCATACTATACTATTTTTACGAAAAATACTTATTATCTTAAAATGATTTAAATCAAATATTTGTATAGAGCGCCATCTATAAAACACTAGGGGAATCTGTTACTGTCAAATGTCAAATTTGTATGTGTTATAAACACAGATTATAAAGGTCAAGTCCAAATGTATTCCTTGAAAATGGATTAACAAGAGTTTTCACAGTGAAAATAAAGAAAATGAGCACTTCACGGTGGAGTCCGAGCCCGAATTTAAGTTATATCTAGTTTACTGCCGGCGAAATTAAAATGTCTGTAGAATTTTCATAAAACTTTTCAAATATTGGCGTTGAGAGAAGGGCACTTTGTTTTAACGATTGTATGACATTTGACAACTGTCAACTAACTTTAAGCTAACTTCAGCCCTTGACTAAAAATCTGCTGCTAACTTCAGCCCGTGACTAAAACGCCATAAAGCCACAACTTGTCAATGTGTATTTAAAAGGTCACTTGGTGTCATGGAAAAATGTACGATAATGGGCGTTTTAAAGGTGGGAGTATAAAATAGTATATTATGTATCAAGTTTGATAAACGCCATTTTATACACGAATTAATAAGTGTATATAAAAGTTTATAAACGAGGTGCATACTATACTTTTTCTACGACAAATACTTATTATTATCTTAAAATGAGTTAAATGAAAAATTTGTATAGAGGGCCATCTATAAAACAATACGGGAATCTGTGTGTCAACGTCAAATGTAATTTTTTTAAATTTTATAAACACAGATTATAAAGGTTATAAATCGAAAAGTATTTCTTGAAAATTGACACTTTTTCACAGTAAAAGTAAAGAAAATGTTTTATGAGCACTTTATAGTATACTATAGAGTCCGTGCCCGAATTTAAGTTATAGTTTACTGCCGGCGAAATTAAAAGGTCAGTACAATGTTCATATAAACTTTTCAAATATTGGCGTTGAGAAACTATTTAATATTTTTGTATTTTTGTATTGAGATAATAAAATAATTTTCATATTTAGTATTATTTTACAAGAAAGGCACTTTATTTTAACGATGGTATGACATTTGACAACTGTCAACTAACTTAAAACTAACTTCAGCCCGTGACTAAAAACCTGTTGCTAACTTCAGCCCGTGACTAAAGCGCCATAAAGCCACAACTTGTCAATGTGTATTTAAAAGGTAACTTAGTGTCATGGAAACATGTACGATAAAGGGCGTTTTAAAGGTGGGAGTAGAAAAAATATATTATATATTTTATTCTCCAATGAGCTAGTGCTTTATCTAGTTGACATCCTACAGCTTTGTTAAGTGTTTTTTAAAATTAGCAAATACTGTTTGTATAACTTTTAAGTCACTTACTGCTTTTTTATCAGTAATATTGTTTACAAACCACTTAATTAGTCAAACAAATTGTTTATAGCAACCTAAAAAATTGACGCTTTAAATTTTAAATAACAACAGATTACGTGGTAACCATAGATACCCTTAACTCACCCGTCAAAGCTTCTTGATACAAAATAATATTTAAAATTTTACAAATTATTGAATATGTCTGAAATTATTAACTTATGGTATGGTAACATCAATCGAAAAGTTTTTTAATTTATTATTTGATTAAGTAAAAACAAACAGTGTGTTACATTTAAATTAAAAAGTTATTAACCTTTCCAGTTAGCCTGGATTTTCTAAGGTAATTTGTTAAAAAAAAGTTAAAGAATTGACATGGAATCTTTTAAACAATGTTTTAAGATTCCAAAAATTCCATGGCCATATCCGCAAACATAATAACAAAAAAGATTTTTATGATTGCACGCATTTGTCAAATTTTAAGGAAAAAAATTAATAACTCGAAAACTATTTACTTTAGGTATAGGACATGGTTTAGTAATGTAACTCAGAATTTTATACAGAATTTAAAAATATATGGGGTGTTCTATGAAATAACAAAGTTGATTTCACTTTCGGTTAAACCTGAAGTTGCATTTTGTTTAAAATATTTTAGAAGAATAGACTTAAATGTATTATAAACGCTTTCAACATTTCAAATCGATATTTTATTTGGTTCCCCACAAATTTCCAATATACCACGAATGTGAAACATCCTGTATGTAAATATAATTTTTAATTGTTTTCATACTAGATTTTCAAAATATTTTTTAAAATTTTTTTGTTCTATTTTTAAGATGAACGACCCAATTCCAATGGATACCAGCTACACTAAAGAACTAGAAAGAGCGACGGACTTTTTCCGAAACAATTTCGAACGAAACCTAAAGCTATGGAGGGACAAAGAAAAAATCTACTCTACATTATCGATAAAATACAAAAACAAAAATAAACTAAACTCGTTGAAACGATTGACAATAGGACAAGTGGAAAACATATACACCACTCCAAACATAAACCCAGGATTTCAGTGTAAATGCAAGGAGGAAAATTACTATGAAAACAGTTCAATTTTCGAGAAAACAATATCGGATATCGGGTCGGATTACACGTATTACAAGGAGGTATGCTCGAATGGATATGTAAAAAATAATTTGTACAATGAAAAATGTAATTCGGGGATTCACAGCGAATCGGGACTCGGGAGATCCTGCCAGGAGGCTTTGAATCATAGTGGAATTTATGAAGAGATACCTGTTGATATTAGATACAAAGTAAGTACTTAAGAAAATTATATTTTTTGTACGATTGAAACAAAAAGACAATAATTTAGTAATTTTAGGAGACCTAGGAAATTATTTATTAGTGCACTGCACATGTTTAAAATATTTGTTTTTAAATATAAACTATGCCATCAAGTACTTGTATAACATTTTGTATTGTTTGATGAAACTCCATGTCACTAATGTATAATTAGATAAAAACAAACACTGTTTTTGAGTTTCCCAAATTTATTTTAATTTAATATGACAATTGTTCCAATAACAGAGTGTTTTCTTTGGAAATGATTTCAAACTTTATCTAATAACAAACTTATATAACACAATAATTATTATTATTATTGCAGGTAATATTTTTTTTAATTAGTACATTATGACAGTTTTACCTGTCGAAGTATAATGTAACAACAGTTATAATAAAATAATATTGGGGAATTTTTCATCATATACAAGGTGTCCCTAAACTTATTGGCATAAATTTAGGAAAAGATTGAGCAAGTAAAAATAAGTCGAAACCTAAATAAATATTTTTCCTAATTACTTATGTTTTCAAGATACAGGGTGATAAAGTAGAAGTTATATTAAAAAAACTGATATGATAAGTAACACTTTATCACCCTGTATCTTTTAAACATACGTAATTAGGAAAAATATTTATTTAGATTTTCGTCTTATTTTGACTTGCTTAATGTGCTCCTAAATTTATGCCACTAAGTTTAGGGACACCTTGTATAATTTTAGAAAAAATTTAACATAGGGCAATTATTTGTTTCTATTTGAACATTGAGGATATCAGATTTTTTTAATTTATTAAATTTTAATGATTCTGGTAAATTTAATTTCGTACCTTTCTCTGGAACCACTTATTAATTAATTAATCATCAACAAACATCCTTATATGAAACAATTCTTATATTGGTACCGATATGTAGATCCTTTATCCTTTATTTCACAGGTAGAGATACACCCTATAGGGTTATTATAATATAAAATTCACAAAAAGAACAAAATAATCAAATTAACTTTCTAGATCTTACCGTCTAAAAAAAGAACTCACACATTTAAAATTTACCATAAACCTAGTTACACAGACATAACAATATGTAATAGTTCCTCACATCCTTTTTCTCAAAAAAACAGCAGCATTTAATTCCATGATACACAGGTTTTAAAAGGTACCTACAACAGAATCAGATTTTCATGATTAATTAAATTTAATCAGACAAATTGCAGATAACAATGGTTATGGCGCAGAATTAATTAATAATATACTAAGTCATAAAAAACTGAAAATGGCTAAATCATGGCTATAAATCAAGTATTTTCTATACAAAATAACCCCACATTTACATTTAACATTGTCACATACTTAGGCACCAAGACAAGACATGTGTCGAATTTCTTCAAAAAGAATAATATTTATATTGCATTTAAAAACAAAAACAATTTAAGTACATTTGTAAAAAACAACAAAGATAAACTAAGAAAGATACTAAATCCGAATTTTAAATCCAGAAATAATGAAAATCTGTTATTATTCAAAAAACAGATTCAACTAATACCAACGATTTAATTCAAGAAAACCACTCATTTAACAATAAATTTAAAATTTACATGATGCAGATAAAGGTACGAAGATAAAGTTTAAAATCAAGAAGCTACTAGTACACAGCTGTGTTAGCGAAACAATTGTCAAATTAAATTAAAATAAATTCGTGAAACTCAAAAAACAGTGTTTGTTTTGCAATACATTACTTTTATAATACCCTGTATATAGGGTGCACAAGTATCTTTTTATGTGTACACTTCTATCGGTATTTGAAAAGCTACAAGATCGGTTGGTTAGAAGAGTAATAAAATAATATTTATAATTTAAACAAAATATTTGAAAAACTAAAAAAAAAACTTTCAAAACCAAAAATCCTGACAACTATTTACTTTTACTTTTTTCAAAATTCCCAGATATAGTAATAATAATAATAATAATAATAATAATAATAACAGATACATTCAATTACAGAATAATGTTTACAAAGTAAAGTATAAACATAAGATATAAAAAAAATTTATACAAATAAATCTGAAGAAAAAAAATTAATAAAAAGAATTGAATAAACACAAATTCTTTAAATAAAAAATAGACTATTTGCAATCCTAATAAATGAACACAATGTACACTATACGTTGTACAGTTATTTATATCACAATCATTACTAATACTATTATAATTTCCACAAATGGGATGCAAGTGTGAATTAAAGTACAAATTCGTTCTGGAAAAGTTACAATAAAAATATAAAAAATTTGGCGACCCTAGCCTTGGAACAAAAAAATTTAGTTGATTTAACAAATAACGAAGTTCTAACGATTTTTGGATTTGACAGGATTTCATTTTTTTTAATTATTTGAGAACTTCTGATTTTTCTTCAAATTTTTTAATGTCATTTTAATAAACTTGTAATTTCGCAACTTTTGTTAATTTAACCGACCTTATAGCTCTCTAACTAAAAAAATACCCATACATAAAAGGATACTTGGTGCACCCTGTATATCCTTAACAATTTTTTTTAAGGATTCGAGAAATAAAAGTTTGTCTGTTGACACAATTTACAACAGTCATGTTTCCAGGATGTCCGAAGCGATTTCTCTACAACATTTGGTGATACAACAAATCACAAAGGCTTTATTGGTTTGCAAAAGCAGGCCAGAATTTTTTGGTAATCGTATTCATATTGAGGCTGAAAGGATTTTATTACTGGCGAGTTAGTAATTTTATTAAATTTATTGTTGTTAACGAACAAAATCTGTAAAAGCGTTTAAAATAATTATTAAAATAAAGTTAACGCATCCAATAAGCTAATGTTTGAATAAACTTTCTCAGGCACAAGAAAAATGGTCCTAAACTCAAACATATCCCGAGAAATGAGCGAGGAAAGTCTAGACACCCGAAACACAGCCAACGTGGACATAAAAACAATCACATTCTCCCTGAATCCTTACAAACAAAGGCCAGACATCTTAAAAAGTATCACGTATTTTGTCTGTTTGGTGATTTGCAACCAAGAAGTTCTGTCAACCGAAGTCGCAACTGCAGAAGGCGGAAACATTATTTTTAATCCAAACATAATATTAAGTGACAAACCCGTGGAGTATAATATACAAATCCAAATACATGCCATGAGTGTCAAATGTCGAAAGAAAATACCTATTTTTGATGTGAGTATTAAAAAACGAAAAGTTTGAGGCATTTATATGATAAAAATGTCTACAAAAATCATTTTCCTGTGTTATCAAATATAAATTTAAAGGAATTTTCATGTTACATAAAAAACGATACTTAAATTTAGAGTATATAAAACATAGTTTTTTAATACAATAAAAAACCAGCTGATTTTCCCCAAGAATATTTATATCGCTTCTAGAATAATTTTATTACAGATTTTCTTTTTAGGGTGTGAGAAATGCTTGTTCAAAACTTTGCAGTAAAGCAGCGACTTGCTTTAAAAGGACCATGTCACAAAATACTAAAGAATTAAAAATATCATTTGAATTATGGGGAAATTCCACAATTACCATACCAAATATTCCAAAGATGAAAGATTTTCGACTGAAAAATATGGAATGTTCTCTACTTCATTCTAAATTTAATGCTAATATTAATATTGTATTAAACACTAGTATTTAAGAAGTGTTTATTTGTTTATTTATGTTATTTATATTATTTTTGAACACTATTTTGTAGAAAACATTTATTTTTATTAATAAAATAACAAAATTTAAAAAAATATAAAAAATTTGTGGTGAACATTATTAAAAAAACTAAAATTTATTATACTGAGCGAATTAGTCCTACCTTTTTTTTAAATTTATCCACTGTTCAAATTTTTTCCACTATTTTTTAATTTTAAACTGCGAATTTTCCTTCATCGCCTGCTAAAATTTTACTATCAACGGGACAAAGGAACCATAACTTCAAAAGTTGAACTGAAAATTATTTTTTATTATCGATAATTATTATTATAAAAATCATATTTAATGGTTTGGCACTCCCAATGATAAAAAACATAGTTAATTTGTCATGGCATAATAATTATTGTGCGTAATAGCAATGAACCGTATCGAAGATAGAATTCTTTTATTTAGTTTGTTTCCATATCAACCGCTATTCAATGTGAAGTATTTTATCTTATTTTTAAAAAAGAATTGTGCCCTGTTCATTATGAAACGTTTAAAGAACACCAATTTTATTTTTGAAAATTAAAAAATATTAACATTTTTAACTAAAAAGGTATCGTCTACCAAAAAATTTTAAAAAAGGCAGTTAATTTTATGTATCTAATCAAATTTTTATTAAAATTTTATCAAAGTAGACATTTGAAAAATATTGTTATTTTGTACCTAATAATTTGTTTTTTCTACTCCCACCTTTAAAACGCCCATTATCGTACATGTTTCCATGACACTGTGAGCCTTTAAATACATGTGCACATTGAAAAGTTGTGGCTTTATGGCCTTTTAGTCACAGGCTCAAGTTAGCAACAAGTTTTTGGTAACGGGGTGAAGTTAGTTTGAAGTTATTTGACAGTTGTCAAATGTCAATCGTTAAAATAAAGTGCCATTCTTGTAAAGTAATACTAAATGTGAACATTATTTTATTATCTCAATACAAAAATACAAAATTATTAAATAGTTTCTTGAGTCCAATATTTGAAAAGATTATATGACCTTTTGTTTTTGCCGTGGTAGTGCAGTTAACTAAATTTACCTGATAAAGCGTTAAATTAATTTTGCTTACAGTGCCCATAAAACATTCTCTTCTCTTTTACTGTGAAAAACTGCTTCTATATCGATTGTTAGCCTATTTTCAAGGGGTAAATTTTGATTTACACAGAAAAATTTGAGATTTTAACGATGGTAGATTTTCAAGTTAGAAATTCTAACGGGAATTCCAATAAATACAACTTTCACTTTTTGTACCTTTAACATTTCCCGTGTAATAATTTTTAATACTTTGTGATAATATTTTGCTATTATAGTAACATAATCATATTTTGAAGTTATTTTAATATTTTAAAGTATCAATACTTTTTAATAAGTTTAATTAAAAAGATAACAAGGCAATGTTAATGGTGAAAATAATGTCAAAAATGTTTATTGGGATGGTTACTTTATTTTTGTATAGAAGTCGCTTTATACAAATACCTATTTAATTTAAATCATTCTTTAGATAATATTAAGTATTTGTTGTAGAAAAAGTATAGTATGCACCTCGTTTATAAACGTTAGCTTAATTATAAATGTCGTTGATAAAGTAGTATGCAACTTGTTTTATAAACTTGTCTAGACACTCATTTTTATTAAAAACTCGCTTGCAAGCTTCGCTCGTGCCAAATAAAACTCGTAACTAAAATGGCGTTTATAAAACGATAATATACAATTAAATCCCTCAACATTAAAGACATTTTGTCAAAATTATGCCCTTTTTTAAGTCGAAATGGGTTAAACCGAACCACATTTTTTGCTGAGAAAATTTAAATTTAAATTGACAGAGAATTCGATTTCTAGCTAGTAAAGTAAACTCGTATATACAGTGTATACGCTTTGTTTGCTAAAATTATGGCATCACAACAATAATTAAATTATCTCACTTTTATACAACACTTTTAATATTTACATTAGTCGTGCTATAGGTTTATGCATGTATTCATACAAAATTCGAACAATCTTACTTTATTATCTATGGTAATGTTAAAAAATGTGTGTGTTATAAAATGACGCTCTCAAGTAAAAATGTGTGTTTTACTATGTTTATTTAAAAAATTGTATTAGTTTGACCTAATCTTAGCGTACAGAATCACGTAAGTATTTTTTGATTGTTATACATTATTATATAGTGGTATATTTTTACAAATTTTTGGTTTAAAAACTTATAAAAGGTACCGTGTACTGGGTGAATAGAAAACAAATTTGCAAGATTTTTATAATAATTATGTATTATTAGTTTTATAACAGTAATATCTTCTTTAACAAAATGATACCTGTATTGATAATTATTTTGGCATAGGACGTTAAGCTTAACAGTAGAGTTTGTAGGTTTGTACATTTTTAAATTGACATTTTATAGTAAAAAATTATTTACAATTTTATTTAACAACATAAAACACAACACAAAATTATTTAGGTACAATGAGAGCAAGTGTTAAAGTTAATTAAGCAGTCGTTGATTTTAAAAAGGACAATATCTTTGTTGTGATATTTTTCATCGACAGTTTCTGCTGTTTTTCTTTCTATGCTATCACTTGAGGATGATGTTAAAGAATTATTGTCCGTTGATTTGAACAGCTGCTCCGAAATTTTAAGTTTCTTGGTAATTGATTATTCAACATACTGTTCAGCAACTGCTGAAGATTTCCAGCCCCCGAATGGTTAGGAGATCGCCACCGTTTTCAGAGGATGTGGCTGACGATCTCCTAAGAGGCAATGCCCTCTGTAATATTCAGAATTCTCCAAGTTTAAAATTTTTGCAATTTTATATGAAACTCCTCCTTTTTGTGATTTCTATAGCACAACTCTTAAAAGTAGTATCGTCTTCCGTAATAGTGAACTTTCGGGAAGGTTTATTTTTTAATAGTTTCACAAGAAAACGCGTTATTTGCTCTACTGTCAATATCATAGCTTTTTTGGTGTGTAGCGTTCCGACTTTCTCTTTAAAAATGTTCAAAGCTTTCCATATCTGTAAAAACGTTTAAAATAAATTCATCAACACAAGAAGGTAATCACTTACTTAAAAATGTCCATATTTTCCTGTAGTTTGAGATACGTTTGTATATGATATATCATCGAAATTTTTGTCCATAAGGTGTTAGGCGCGTAACTTTTCGATAGCTTATTAAACATTAGAGTGGTCTTTAAAAATTAAATTTTTTGCGACGCCCCCTAAAAAGCTTCGTTTTGATAAAAAAAACACTGGGAAATTTTTTAATTTTTTTTTTAATTAAAAACAAGACGATCTAATCTATAAGTTAATTTTTTGCTATAATCATGTTTTTTTGCCAATTTTTTATGAAAAATAAAATTTAATTCGAGATATAAACAATTATAGAACCCAAATCAATAAAAAAAAATAGTTAATCCAAATAACAATAGACAAAATTTTAAATTCAAAATTTTTCCCAGTTGATTTGGTCTATTAAATAAAAAAATTAAAGATATTCAAATTGATATTTTTATTTTAAAACTAAATTAGTACAAACGTAACTTTAATATCTAGATTTTTTCACTCCGTGGGGAAGTTAGGTATTTCATTGTTAATAATTTTTAAATCTCAAAAAAATTATTATTCCATATTTTCAGAAAAGACATGATTATACCAAAAAATTAACTTAGATCGTCTTGAATGACATTTAAATTGACACTGTCAAATTCTAACAAATTAACGGTTGTTTTTTATACAGTTAATTTTTTTTTTATTTGGACTCTTGTTTTTATTAAGTTGGTAGCTTATGCCAGTTTGATTTAGTATTTTTAGTATTTAAAAAATGGTACTTCTGCTGAAGACCTTAATTAAATACTCTGTCACTGTCAAATTGACAGTAATATTTATTATTGACTATTTCCCTCGTCTTAATTTCCACCAATTACAAACGCGCAATTTTGAATTACAAATGGTTTCTAGGTGAAAAAACTGTGTGACAACACCTGTCAGCAGTTTATTCGAGTTTACCCGCGGCAAAACTTGACAGCTGTTGTCACCAAAAATTGCAATTTATATTTTAATTGTTAACTGTTACTCATGAAATAGTCTTGTCAAATACCATTCGGGCATCTAATTTTTCCTGTGAAAAAAATCGAAAAACACAATGCTAAGTACCTAATATTTTTTAACCTCTTAAGTGGCTATGACGTATATATCCGGATTTTAAAGTTTATATTCCAGCGCTTATGACGGATATATTCGCATTGAAATTTTACTTCGAGCATTTAATGGTTATGCCGCATATACTCGCATGCGGTGGTTTACAGTGTAGGGGGGTGCCTATTCGATAGCTTGATGAGAAAATAACGCGAAATAGTGTTGGGCGTACGCAGTAACAATCTTTATTTGTTTGCGCAGCACGTACTAGTTATTCCTTGGTGTTTTTTTTGTAATAAAACCGGTGTTTATTTGGTAAAAGAATATTGTTAATAATAATATTATATCGGATTACCCTTCTGAAATGCATTGTGTTGATATTAGAGTCGAAAATAGTGATTTTACTAGCTCTGATGGATCGGAAAGCGATTCAAATTGCAGTGAAGAATTTGAGAGTAATAATGACGAAAGTGATAATGTTCCTGAAAACGAAGAGGCCGAGGACCTTGGACTGAGAATGGGATTCCCCGACCACCCTTTAAATTCACGGCAACCAGTGGCGTACAGATAAATAATCTAACTGATATAATCTATAGACATTTTTGAATACTTTTTTGACGAAAATTTGATTGGTATAGTTGTGGAAGAAACAAATAGATATGATATACAGTTTATTTTGAGAAATCACGCAAACATAAAACGACAAGTGGACAGAGAAAAACAGAAGTGAAATCAAGACAATATCGGGTTTATTAATTCTACAGGGTTTATGCCCAAAACCAAAATACAAAATGTATTTTTCTCGTAGATAATAATATATTTACCTACATGTGTAGATTTGTAAAATAAATAACATATTGACTTATTACTTATTATTATTATACCCAATATGTTTTAGTTACTTTTTCTTTTTTATAAACATATATGACGTATA